AGCCATTGTTCTGTTTAAACCTGGGACAGAACAGAAACATGGAGGATACTGGTAGACCTTTTAGACTGACTTTAGACAACTGATTAAATGCACACAATCCCTTTAACAGGCCCAGCAGCATGGGGCATTAGGGGCATTAGGGGCATTACCCGCCCACAGAGTCAGCTGTGCCTGGAAGCTGTTTGATGTTTTTACCTCAGACTGGCCAACTCTGTTATTCCTGTATTAATTTGATAGCGTAGGGGCTTCCACACTTCCCTTATCTGTGTCCTCTGTGTCCTCTGTCCTCTGTCCTCTGTCACTGCTTTCAACTGTTGAATCCGTTGTAAAACACGTCGTTCCTGTTTTTCCGAGGCACCTTTCAACACGCGGCGCTCGCGCCAGGTTTTACACCTGTGAGGCAGAAGGAGACCTTGGGTCAGGGTCAGGGTTAAGGTGACACAAATTGGGTTCTGATTATTCTGCTGTAAGTGTAAAATAATCAAGGCCAAGAGTCAAAATATTTTAGTTCCTGCGCTGGAGCGCGTGATCCCAGCATTAGCCTGCACCTTTTCCCTCTCCAACATGGTGGCTGCAGTCTTTTTTATTTTTTATTAATTACTTAATTATATGAAATCACGTGGTATATACATACATGGACAAGTCAACTTTTACAGGCTTAAGGCACATATAACTAAAAGATAATAACAAAATAAAGAAGTTAAATAGAACCAGTCAGACATCAAACAGGGATTATAGAACAAAAAGCTGAAAAAGACAGAAAAAAGAATTTATTTTAGTTGTCAAATAAAGTCAGGTCGTTATGAGCGTCCAAAAGTTTCATTCCCTGCTTGTTTTCCATCAGTTTTAAGGTTCTGAAGCGTTTTCCATCAGAAGGTTTTTAAAGGCTGAACAGTTTGGTTTTCTATTACAGAGTGATGAAGAATTTGGCGAGGATCAGCAGGTGGTTCAGAACCAGGCCGGGTTTTGTCTTTGTGGGTCCAAATATTACATCCTCTGTTTTTAAGGGATGATGGAGGGAAAGTTTAGTTGAGATCCAGTCCTGAAAGTTTCTCCAAAATGATGCAGTTTGCACACAATAGAAAAAAGATGATCTGTTGTTTCAATGTCAGTGTTACAAAAGGTACAAATGTTGAAGTTAAATCTTTGTCTTAAAAGTTTCCTGGATGGAAAAAATGTTGTTGAGAATTTTAAAATGAACTTCTTCAGCTTTAGGGCTCAGAGGATATTTAAGGTAATCAGTTCTCCACTTATTAACCTCAAAATCAGAAGATAAATTTAAAATGGAGTTTTTATTTGGTCGGACAGGAAATATAATATTAGTAAGATGCTGACGCATCCGTTTGTTAGAATGACTTTTGTCATTAAATCCAAACAGCTGAAGAGCTGGAAACTGAAGGTCAGCTGATTAATGTTTTATATCTGACTGCAGAGGGGATGGAGTTTAATACCATATGAAACTGAGTGCATGAGCAAACCAAGTTATACAATAAGCAAAATTCATCATAAGACAACCAATCTCCACTGTCATTAAGAAAATGTCTTATGGACCAAATACCTTTTTCCATCCAGTGATCTAAATAGAGATTTATTTCTGTCTATTGTTCCAGTTGGGAGTTTGCTGAGGAGTAAAGCTGTTCATGTTCAGAAGTTTAAACCTGCTTATGAAAAGCCGATAACTTAACAGGAAGTCTGTTGACATCAAAGTCACATCTAAGAACAAAATCCATGCATCCAATTTTTTAAACAAACCTTTGGGAAACAAAACCAGACACTGATTCCATTCATTAAAAAGATTTTAACCAATTTACCTTTATGACGGCGTTTAAACATTTAAAGTCAATGGCTTGTAAACCACCATCTTTAAAGTCTTGAACCATATTTGCTTTCTTTAACTAGTGGACTCGATTTTTCCAGATGAAACTAAAGTTCAGCTGATTTATAGCTTAATATATTTATTAGGTATGGCCATAGAATAATCTGGGTAAATGCACCGGCTCAGCGACTCCATTTTGGTTAATAGGTTCTCCAACAGGGTCAGATCTCTCTGCAGACATCGATTTAACTGTGTTTTATTCTCTATGTTAACGGTTTCATTGAGTTTAACATCTTTAGTTATTAAAATACCAAGATATTTAACTGAGGATTTCATGGGAATATTATAAGCTTCCATCAGATCAGAGTCATGAATCGCCATCAGTTCACACTTCTGCAGATTTAAGGTCAATCCTGATGCTTTGGAGAAAATATTAATTAACTTGAGTACTTTAGGGGTTTGGTCTGGATTCTTCAAAAACATTGTGGTGTCATCAGCTAGTTGACTAATTATGATTTGGTCATCTAAAACTTTCAATTTCGGTATGTTGGAGTTTTTATGAAAACTCATCACTTCAACAGCCAAGATGAAGAGAACCGGGGAAATAATGAATGGAGAGACGTGGAGACGCACCATGTGACAAGGCGGCCCCCTGCAGGCTAATGCTCCCCCGCTAGTTGGCGCTGCAGGCTGTAAGCTTTAATGGAACCGTGTGTTTCCGGTTCCGGTCCACATTCTATTCGGTTTTTGTCAGGTTCCTGCAGCTCGGATGCGCCGAGCTCCGGATGGATTTCACCGGAGCCCCAGGGCCCCTCGGCCGGCTCCAGACTGGACTTTCCCCGGGTTCGGTCTCCTTTCGGAGGTTCTCCTCAGCGCCCAGGGGCAGGCTTCTCTCCCCGGTTCTCTCCCGGCTTCTCTCCCGGCTTCTCTCCCCGGTTCAGCAGAGGAACTATGGACGGGTCACCGGCGCATTTCAGCGGCGAGAGGGGGTTCGGGTTCCGGCGGCCCCAGTCCTTCAGTCCTTCAGAGCTCCGAACCTGCAGGTGGTTCTGATGTTTCTAAACAAAAGGGAGTGGGCGGGGCTTGTTTGTTTGGTTCAGGTGTCCTGACGATCTGAGCTACCCCGTCAGATTTCCCTACCGCAGCACGGATCGACAGCTGGCTCTGTCTGTCCGTGCTACCCGTCTAAAGCTGCTACCGCCATGTTTACAAACAAACTGCAGCGGCTTGTTAATGTTCAATAATTGGATCATTTAGTGACTGGAAGCTTAGCAGTTCTGGTTAGCTTAGCATTGAACAATTGATGTGATGATGAAACCAGAAGCAGATCACTTCCTTCATCTGAATATCCTACCAAAGTTTGAAATGAAAAGCTGCAGATGCAGCTGATCCTTTCCTACAATATCTAGCTGTTAATATCTGAGACACAGAGGCGTTTGTTAGAATAAAACCGGATCAGATGGAAACAGCTTTTATTGGAATTAAACACTAATCCAGATCACTGGAACGGTTTTTGTGCATTAATACTTATATGTTATCAGCATCAGCCACAACGTGTCACTGAAATGATGGGATATGATTCATATGCACTGATATTACAGCTTCACATCGTATCGCTAACATCTATTTAGCAAGTTTAGTCGACAAGAGTGGAATTAAACTAACATATTTTAACGTATAGGGACAAAAAACCAAAACATATTTAGTCCTGATTAACCACCAAATAATAACTTGTTTACAGTAAGGACAGTGCAGAGCAAACTAAACCATCATTCCATTGACAAGCTGCTAGTAATCCAGCTGCTTCATGAAAGAAAATCAATGAAATAAAGATTATTGTCATCTGTGATGAAATAAAACACCTGAAACTAAACTTCCACAGGCAGGACGGATTGAGAAGAAATCTGCTGACTCAGCAGATTGTGACTGCTGACTCAGCAGATTGTGACTGCTGACTCAGCAGATTGTGACTGCTGACTCAGCAGATTGTGACTGCTGACTCAGCAGATTGTGACTGCTGACTCAGCAGATTGTGCGTGGATGCATAAGGTAGGATGGACTGACGGGTAGCACAGATAAATAGAACGCCTGTTCTGCTGCTGTCAGAACCACCAGTGAAACCTTCGGCTCGGTGATGATCAGAAACTATCAAAGTTCTGTAGAAAATTGTAAAAATTCTCCAGTTTCTGTGGTTCCATTGTGGTTCTGATTGTTTGGACCAGCTGATTGAACAGAACCAAGGTTCCACTTCAGCTGGTTCTTTTTAGATTCAACGTTGTTCATTTCTACTTAAAACCTGCTGGTATCAGCCAATGCTAAAAGTGGAACCAGGTCAGCAGGTTACCTGAGCGGTTCTGATCCGCTTTGCTCCAGTGTGAAGCGGTTCCTTTAATCCAGATTGTGACTCGGCTTGTTGCCTTCCAGCCCACAGACGTTCCGGTGGAGAGATATTTCAGTCCCTCCATGCTGCAGGACCCCTGGAGGACGCTGCAGCCTGTCACAGCTGAAGCTGCTGCCAGGACCAGCTGAGCCAATCAGAGCACAGAGGACCAACCTCTGCGATTGGACAGAATTTTGACCAGCACATTTGTTTTTACTGCTAAACTTATTTTAATAAAAGCTAAGAACTTAACCTGAATCCTGGAGTTTTATTTCTGCGCAAATCAAAACCTTCTTCACATTTAAAGCTGTTCTAGAGAAGTTCTGGTTCTGACCCGGTTTAGTTTCACAAAATCAGATCAGATGGACCCAGTACAGACCCATAATTTCCATACTGGGTCAGTCACTATGACATCATGGAAGGCTGGGTCAGGAGCACATTGAGCAACAAATGCATGAAGTTGATTGTCAGCACTAAGCCCCTCCTCCTGGCTCTGATTGGATGTTTCTTCAGCAGGAGATAACATTATCAGACCCATGGTGGTGGTTTAAAAACTGATGAGTAAAAGTTACACACTGCAGCTTCAACCCCTGCCGAGCGGTTTCTGATCCGGTTCTTCCAGCCTGGTCTCATTACACCTTCTGACACATTAAGCATCTTCATCACTAATGTCTCCATCGTTTCCCTTACAGAGTGGACCCCACCAGACCCAGAACGTTCTGATGAAGAGCAGTCGGGATCAATATCAGACAGGTTCTATTGGGTTTGAAAACACACCAGGTTGCCATAGAGACAGAAACTACAGAGAGAGAAAATGACAAATTTTATTAAAGTGAAGAAAACCGAGCAGCTAGAACCAGAACCCTGACCTCGTTAATCACTAACGCTCGTTAAGCTTCACCTCGTTAATCACTAACGCTCGTTAAGCTTCACCTTGTTTATCACTAACGCTCGTTAAGCTTCACCTTTTTAAAAGAACTGTTTACATTTTGAGCCGTGAGGAGCAGAACAAAGTTTCTTGTTCTTGTTTAAAACAATTTCAGTTAAATTTTTTTTTTTTCCAAGAGAAAGAATAAGTTAAATAAACCAAAGGCTGATGAGAGGATGGAAACTCGTTAACCTTGTTATCAACCATGGCAAACGTCAATTAGCTCAGGTTGTTGCAACTGGAATACTTCTCTCATTGGTTCCCTTTGACTTGTTTGAAGTTATCAGACATCATCTGATTGGTTGGGTTGACTGTGGCGGAGCAGTGGGCGGAGCAGCTGCTGATGTCTCTGATGAAATGCATCGCTGCTTCATGAGAGGAAGGCAATTAGTCAGCACCTGTAGAGAGACAGAACCGAGGGTTGTGATTGGCTGAAACAGTCTCTGTCTAACCTGGACCGACTGGAGGTCACAATCCAGATGTGCTTCCTGTGGTCGGTTCAGCAGCTAAACGTTTACCGGCCCGGCAGGCTGCCTAGGCGCCAGGTAAACGCCAGTCATGATGATGTCACTGACCAGGCGGAGGCGATGGGCGTACAGCGGCTCTGGCTCTTCAGGCTTTCTGCTTGGAACGACAATGTTCCATCGCCGCAGCTCTGCGATCATTTCTGCAGGACTGAAGAGGACGGCCGGGTCGGCGCTACACTGGTTGATCTGCTCCACCAGACGCTCCTTGTAGTGAGCCCTGCCGGAACAGACAGCAGCTCACCTCAACAGGTACGCAAGCAGAGGACGCATGGCCTCCGACTGGACCTTACTGGCAGTATCCTCCGTACGGAGCCGGCCGTCCGCAAGGCTCTTCCTTCGTCATACCACTATCATCTCGCAGTTCTGGCACGAAACACGCCACTGCCACACAAACGCACCTGTCAGACAGACCGCGATGTGCTGGGTTCCCCCGGGACAGGAAATGACCTCACCTGTCTGACTGCACTGAGCCAAGCTGCCATTGGACGGTTCCAACCAGGAAGGAGACACTCTATAGTGCTGAGAGGGAGAAGAGCATCACCAGCGAGTTCATGCGGGTCTGGCTGAGAACCAGACCCGAGTCCAGCTAACCTGCAACAGCCGGTGCAGCCGGGTCACGCTCCAGTCTCTCAGGTGGTATAGACAGTCCCTGGGGTGGTGCGCATGGAGACCTCTGGACGCACACTGAGTGGAGAAGCTGCAAGTCTGAGGAGGGAGACGTCATAAGGGGACTAGAACTCAGTAGATTCCGGTAGAACAGTTAGAACATGGACTCACCGAGCCCAGAGCAAAGCGCTGACTGCAGCCGCCACAGAACTGATGGCGACACTGAGAGCAGGTGAAGTGAAGACACCCTCCTTTAGACAGGCTGAAGACGAACTGACAACGAGGACACTCTGAGGACAAACAAGACTTTACTGGAGGAAGAATAGGGTTAGCTACCAGCTTCAGAGACACGACTGTTTCAGATGTTCCTACCAGAACCCTGAGGTTCTGGTAGGAACCTAAGACTGCAGGTTCCTAGAGGTACTAGCAGTAGAACAGCAGACAGATCCTTTTTCATAGACTTAGACTCGTACTTTATTGATCCCTTGGGAAGACTCCCTCAGGAAATTGAAGTTACCAGCAGCTTACAGGCAGAAAAGTGGCACCCAGTGAACAAAATACAAAAGAATACAAGAAATACAAATTAAAGACAAAGGTACACACTAAATGTGAGTAGCCAAAACCCTAAATTAAGATCCTTTAGCTCCTACCCTGCAGATCCAGATCCCAGTTTACCGAGGCAGATGCTATCTATCGTTAAGCTACTTGAGGCTGCATAACTTTCTCCTCGTATTGTCCCTTCAGTCACAATCTGCTGTTATTGTGGTGAGCCTCAAGGTTTTACTTGGCCGCCTGACAGTCTGGGCATTGCAGGTTATTATTATTATTATTTATAATTATTTAAAATGCATTTTTTTAGAAACATCAGCATGCCTGCTGCGTTCAGCATTTCACCAGCAGAACAGAATCATTCCTGAAAGTTTTATAGTTGATGCATCAAAAGAGTGTGAAAGCAGACCAACCACAGGCGCCTCTGCACATTGGCTGTCGGTCGACCTCGGCACGGACCGCGTCTGACCTTTCACTCAGACTGGAAGGGTTGGAAGGTGTTCTTGGAGAAAAGCTTCACCTTATTGGCAATTATATAGATTACATTTGTGCAACTGCAAATGTAATCTGTGCTTCCAGAGGTGTGTGTTGAGCGTGCTGTGCAGAGGGAATTGTATCTTTGTGAACAAAGAACAATGAGTGTCATTTACATCTCAACATGCTGCCCAGCGCATGGCTGTTTCTGCCCGTGTTCCTCAGTGGGCCGGTGGCTCAGCCAGTGGAGGAGCTGTTGCACTCGCCTCATAGTCACGCAGCACGTTGTTTTGCTTTGGGGGGGGGTTCTCTTTTTCCCACCACCACAATGCTTCAATCTGCACATCAAATGTCTTCTCTACGTCTGGTCAGGTAGAGCTGCTCTATGGAGATCAGAAAAAACTTGTTCCTTTAAGCCTGGGAACCAAATCAAATATTCTCTGGGCTTATTAAAGACTCTACAGTCAGGAAACAAAAGCTTGGTCCCTGCTAGTGCTTATAAATTAAATCTCCTTGTTTTTGTTGATATTTATTTTAATTGTATTTTTGTGGTTTGTGTTTTTCAGACTGAATAGCTGTGGATTTTAGCATTGTGAACAATGTATTCCAGAAGCATAATTACCCAGTAATATTTCCTGTTACCGTCACATCTTTTGATTCAAAAACATGGCGGACTGCCTCGGCCACCGGGCTTGTCACATTTTCTGGGGGAATCTCTGCACTGTGACAATGAACTTTATGTTTCCTTTTAGTCCAAATGCAGATTGAACCAACCAGATCGAGCCACCCTGACGGGACCAAGCCCAAATCAGACGCTAGAACCGGGTAGAGCTCAAACCTTGGTATCAACTCGGACCTCGATTACTTGAAGGGGTGTTTTACCGATGGTTTTGTAGGCCCACATGGAGCTGTCCCAGTCCTGCTGGGTCTGCTGTTGCCACACCTTGAACTCTGTACAGGAAAGTCCCTGATGGTGAGGAGACCACTGCAGAGCAGACAGACCAGGTCAGATTCTACTTGGAGTTCAGCTCAAACTGCAGGTGTGTGTGCCTTACAGGTGACCTGCACTTGGAACAGGTGCTCTTTCTACAGCTGGGACAGTCCATCCTCAACCGGTCTGATTCATGGAGCATCCCAAAGGAACACTGAAACGAAAGTTAGAACTCTACAGTTCTATGAATCCTGGATGACTGCCAGAGGCGGAGCTTCATGCACTGAATGATCATTCTTGTGCATGCTCAAGTCATTTGCCAGTAACCCATGTGACACTAGTCACATGATACCTGGCGCTCAATCCCTCAATCTTCTCACGCGCCGTAAGGATTCCAATGGACCGAGTACTCTGGTGGTCATCCTGGATGGATAGAACTGTGGTTACAGTCATAAATTTTGCCGTATTTCATCCGTAGTGACCACCAGAGGGTGGAGTTTTAAGCACTGGATGACTATGTCAACAAAATCTAAAAGAAAAGCCAGTGCACTGCCTACCTCAGTAGAAGGATGCTGCTCCAGGAAGCCTTGGAGGGGATGGGCCAAAGCCACATTCACTCTCATCATTGCTCCTGAAATGGGGAGAGGGTCACTGTGACCCATAGGGTGAACACCCTGGGAGACAGCATAAGTCCATACAGGAACCATAATCTGCAAATGCTTCCATTGGAAAGCAAAACAAAGAAAGCGCCAGTGAGGCAGAGCAATTGAGACATGAAAATAAGCATCTGTGAGATCAGCATGTGAAAAGGTAAGACCTTCAGAAATTAAAAGAAGACCCGTGGTCTTCTGAAAAAAAACTGCTTTGAATAAAAGCCCCTGGATCCAACAGAGGTCCATGGGAACCGAGGTGCAGATTTCCTGGTTCAGTGCCTGTGCCGTCACAGGCTTGCGGATGACAGTCGTCCTCCTCACCCAGCTAGGGACAAGGGGCTGGCTTCTGACTTGAAGACCCTGGGGTAAAATAACTGACTGCTGATCTTAAACATTACCTGTGGGGTAACTTGCCTCTTGAATGCCTGGGAGGGCACCAGCCAACCAGTGCCACACAAAAGCAGTACGTTGTCTGGACCCCTGACTGGGAGCAGGTTTTTGGCAATCTCTGGTTCCATAACTGGCATTTGCCCCAAGTCAAACCTAGATGCTTCTTGCATGGCTGCCAGGCATGCAGTTCCCATATTTGCTCCTCCGAGGGAGAAACCATAGATCGTGGAGCTTAACTCCAGAAGGTAATTGAAGGTAATTGAGGAACTGCGTACCCAAGGTTGCCACTGAAATAATATTGTTACCATTGGCCGACACTCCATCCTGCTCAGGAGGAAGTGCCATGCAGCCAGTATTTGCCTGAAAACACCAGAAGACAGACTTCATTTGGGCCAGTTCATTAGTGAGGTGATCCACCTTTGTGGACAATCTCCCCGTATCAGTCCATCAAAGGTCCCTCCACAGCAGGCTGCATTGGGCCCACCATCTGTCCTCGTGGCAACAGGTCTTGCTGTGCAGATCCTGCCCAGTCGGTTGATTTAGCCTGACCTAGCACGACGCTACAGTTGGGCCACGCGTTGTTCGACAGTGAGATGCACACGAGCAACACGAGTCGTCATCAGGCTGGAGCGAAGCCAAGTGCAGCATCATAAATGATAAAGTATCATATCATCACAATAAGCACAATCTTCATAGAGGCAAATTAAAGGACTCACTCAAGCACGAGCAGAAAATGCCTTAGGCAAGTCAAAAAAGCCACAAATAAGCCATCATTCACAGTGAACAGTAAACTACTGCTGTAGAATAAAGAAAAACAAAACATAACCACTTAACCCTAACCTAACTGAAAGTACCTTGTGCTGGAAGACAAGACTGACCATAAACAAGGCTGCAAGCACAAGAAGAAAACCGGTGAAACACAAAAGCTACCAGCTTTGTACAACCACACCTGTACTCTGCACACCTTCGCACGAGAACAAAAGGGATTGAATGCTGGGAGTCATGTGGCTATAAAGTCACATGGGTTACTGGCAGGTCAAAGATGACTTTGTTGTGACTAACTTGATGCACGAGCCACTTTTTTCAATTTCACTACAGATATGTGAGGTTTAGTATTGGCCCATATTGATCCGATGTAATTTTAATGACTTAATAATACAAGTACATCCTGCCAAAGATAAATATGCTTTATTTTCAAAAGAACATTTAGCACTGGAACTGGTGAACAAAATAAACAAAACAGCCTAAAATGGGCTCTCAGTCTCTGTTAACAAAAATATGCTTGAATAAAAACTGAACACAACATAAAACCAAAGTTTAAATAAAAACTACATTCATCCAAAAGAGTACAGATTATAAAATCTAAATCATTTTTATGAACAAAAAGTGCAAAATGACAAAAGCACACTAAATAAGACCATTGGCCTCAACAGTCTATAGCAGATCTGTAGCTACTTTAGTCAGACAGATTCCAACATGTTGAGTTTGTGTGGCTCAAGGCAGGATCTCTCAGGAGGACCAATGTTTCCAGCTGTGTTAAACATTCCCTCTGAACTGGTGCTTGTTGCACAAATACACATGTATTTTGGAGCCAAGTTTGCCATCAAAGGATATCTCCTATGGCTGTCATGCCACCACGTCTCAAGAGACACCAACAGCATCTTCAGCCTGCTCTCTTTGTGGATATGTAGCCTTGGTCTGACCTGTTGGTTGAGCTCTTCTGTTTTGGAGAAGGTAACTTAGACTCTTCTTCTTGCAGGGGGTGGGGGGCAGCGGTAGAGTCACCTTTGTTTCCTCTAGCAGCTTTGCTGCAGCCCTCACCTTCTTCACTTACTTCTGACAGTTCTAAGTCCAGTTTGCTCTTGCACCAGCTGATTGATGCCATCCAATGCCCCTGCCTTGTCCGTGCTGCCATGGTACCTCAGATCCAAGACGGTGGTCTTGGATGGCAGGTGAGCTGTAGTTTTCAGTCAGTATCTTGGATGTGTTTTGTGTAATTCTGGCAGTCAGTGTGCTGTTGTCATGACCTTGAGAGAGAAGGTCGCCTTTAATCAGGTCCAGCACAGGCTTATCAGACGTGCGTTTCCCCTGAGAGGACATCTGACCTCAGTCAGGCAGTGGTTTCATTGCTGCGTTGATGGACTCCAACACCAAAACATCGTGCCAGGTTGGGTTGAGATGGCCATGTTTTCTGTCTTGAACCAGGACTCGTCTTCCAGCTGGGAGTTGCTCCAACACCTTCTTCTGCTTAGTGCCCCATCGGTTGACAACATCAGCAAGGTGGAGGTGGAGGCCAAAGCAGCTGAGCCATGGCCAGCCAAGATTTCTTATTGCAGCAACTATATTAGCACCATTGTCTGTTGGGATGCAACCCAGTTTGTGCTCATCCAGTCCCCAATCTGCTACAGCAGATTTCAGGTTTTCTTCAAGGGCGTCAGCAGTATGGTTATCTGGGACATATCTGGTCTCTAAACATTTAGAGTTTAGAGACTCTAAATGTCCAGTCAGCAGCTACATAGTGAATGGTCAAGATCAGATAAGGGGTCATGTTTGAACTTACCACATAATAATGTCTTTTATTTCCTTAAGTATGTCCTCTTTAATACTGTTGGACAGTTGTGGAATCTCTGTTTGTGATACTTCTATATTTTCCCAGGGATTTTGGATTGTCTGTCAAATGTTTGCAACATTTTTGGAATATTAAATGGGAGCATCTCATTACCAATTACACCAACTATGGTGTCTGTGAGCACGCACCACTTTGTCGTCCGTTTTGTTCACTGCTTGTCGATTAATTGCTTCAATGATGGTGGACTGTTGCGAATTTGAAGACTGGGACAGCCCACCAATTGTACTTTATTCCCCAGCTGGGAAAACGTCTTTGGACGGTCGTGCTTTAGGTGCAATTTGGCTGTACTGCTGCTCTTAGTTGCTACTGTTTTATGATAAATGTGACATACCAGCTCGCAAAGGATCAGCGGTTCTCCTCAGTCATTTGGTTTGAATCTGAAATACTCCCTCACTGCTGCAGTTGCGTTCGGCTGTGAAACCAGTCCCATTTCAAGTTTTTTTCCCCAATATCAGATACTATATCTGTAGCTTTCTAAGTCCTCAAGGGGCTCTCAAGCTGCAGAAGTATGAAATGATGTGCATCCTGACTACCTGACGCTATAGCTCAGTGGTCCCCAACCCTTCTACCACCACGGACTGGTCAAGGCTCGGCAATTTTACTGTGGCTTGGGGTGAAGGGGAGAATAGAGCGGCTGCTCCCACTGTCTTTTATGATCCACAAACTGTCACTATTGCTTCTACATCATGTTGATTATTCTGTGGGATGTTGGGGTTTTACTGGATCTTCTTCTGGAACCGGGACGTTCAGTAGAACCGGTTCTGGTTCCGTGTTGCTCCTGGACTCTCAAACCGACCGAACCTGTTGGACTTTTATCGCCTCTGAGGTCACAGAGGTTTGGGAAATCGGCCAACGATCCTTAAACCGTGAACCAAACCTAGAACTCACATCTCCTCTCATCTCGACCTCTGACCTCACGCTGTCTGACTCTGGTCACCATGGTAACCGTTACATATCCCTTCAAAATAAGATGCAGATGGGCCACAAAACCAACATTTTCCTTTTCTAAACATTTAACTCAGGATATCGACTGATGGACCCTGAGCTGTTTCTCCTGCTGGAGACGCTGAAGTGATGCTCAGGGAGACACTGGGTCTCCATGGTGATGCAGTCTGAAGCTTCATTGGCTCATCAGGTCACCTGATCATGCAGAGCAGCTTGGACTGTGGGAATCAACCCACCGGGACAAACCCATCCTCCTGCCTCTCTGGGCCTGCAGACAAACTTTCCAAAGAATCTGATCTGGTTCTGTTCATTTTGCTGCTTGTGGATCAATGTTGGCGCCAAAACGCCACCGAGAGAATCTGTTGAAGGATTTTCAAAATAAAAGACCCTCCAGACTCACATAATACATAAAACGGAAATATTTCATTATTTCTTGTGCGGCCCTTTACCAATTGGTCCACGGACCGGTACCGGGCCGCAGCCCGGAGGTTGGGGACCACTGCTATAGCTCACTTCTCCCTTACGCTAAAAAATGAGGAAGAGAGGGGTCAGTGGAGAGAACGAGAGCTGAGCCGTTTTTCATCCAGTGTCATCAATAGAAAGAGAAAAAGGCAGGAAGAAGCGATAAAGCAGATAAATTAAAATGAGGTCAATAGTTTTTATTTAGCGTGGGATTAATTGATTTATTGTTTAGCGTGACAGGCCTAAACATCAATACAGAAATATTATTCTGAAGGCGTTTTTTATTTTGTGGTAATGCGTACATTTGCTCAGAGCACGAAGCATAGAATTAGTCTGAATAGATCGTCTCTTAGGGATAGGGAACATTTTCACCAACATCTGATCTAAAATATTTGTCAGTATCAGGATGGGTGCAGATATTTAGAGATGGGCCGGTGCATCTCTAATTCTGACTCAAACTGCAGTTATCACCTTCAAACTCCGCATCATATCAGGAGCAGTTATCAGGGATGAAATGTAAAAACAAACACCCTGATGGATCCTGGATTGGATCAGAACCGGACCCAGAACCGGTTCAACTCATGGAGCGCCCCAAAGCAACATTGAAACAACGACCTGCCAAGGTTCCGACCCTAATGGTCTCATCAGAACCGGGCCCAGTGAGGTTCTTACGTGAGCGCACCAGCAGAACCGGGGCATCTCCTGCAGGGCTCGGTCCCGGAGTTTCCTCTGGAAGAGTTCATGGATGTCGGGAGGCAAGAAGTGACGAATCTGGAAGCACAACACATGTCAGGACCAGTGTTGAATTGTAACGAAGTAAGAATACTTCACTACTTTACTTAAGTACATTTTGGAGTACTTCATACTTTCCTCGAGTATGAACATTTTTGATAACTTTCACTTTAACTTCACTACATATCCGAACTTAATTTTATACTTTTACTCCGATACATTTTCAGTGTGGTTTAGTTACTCGTTACAAAAAATCGAGAGAGAAAAAGTGTTTTAACCCAACCTACTGACCGACTGCAACAAAGCCTGCTTCCCTGGGCTTGTTCATCTCCACCAATAGGATGCACAGGTTTCACAGTCTGATTGGTCAGTGCTCCGTTTGTGTAGGTTTGTGCCGTTAAAATGTTCGTTTGTGCAGCTTTGGTTTCCGAGATATTAAAATGATTTTTTAGGCCATCCAGAGTTACCATCACCGCAGTTTGCTCCAAAACAAACCAAAGTGGGCTGGTTCGTTAGTGCTCCGTTTGTGCCGTTAAAACAAAACGCAGCAAAGTTGTTTTCAATTTGGATTTTGGCTATTCCAATATCCAGTGTGAGCGGCGCCTAACTCGAGGTTGATCCGATTCATGAACGCTATTTTCGGCCAGCCGGTCTCTGGTCTCCTCCTTCCTCAAGGTGTCGGAGTTTCACTCAGGGAGAGTCAACAAATTTTACATCCAAACTCTCCTGAGAAACTAATGGAAATAGATTTCTTGCCTTGTGACAAACTGACACTAAATTCATGACACATTCCTAGAAATTGTAATCTTAAAAAGTATATATTTTGGATGGCCTAAAAAATCTTTTTTAATATCTCGGAAACCAAAGCTGCACAAACGAACATTTTAATAGCACAAACGGAGCACAAACCAATCAGACTAATTGCTGGATTATTTGAGTAGGTGGTGTCAGCTTCACGGAGGTCTGTTTCCTTCTCCCATTAAACACCAAGTTAACTAAAAGCTCTCTTCAGATGTCAATAAGCTGCATTTCCCTCCCAATTCTTTTTCTTTTGCATAATGACCAGTTGTTGCACCTATAGTGTGTGAAGTAGAGGAATCCTAACGGGTTTTTCTCTTCATGTTGGCCGCATTTTCTGTACTGACTATTTATTTTTCTCATTTTCAGCACTGACCTTACTGAAAGGAAAAACTTAAGGCTTACAAAAACTTTGTATTTTCTGTCTTGGAGGGTTTACTAAGAAGCTGGTTCAGTTGGAAAGCAGGTTAAGTTAACTTAAAGCAGGTTAAGTTAACTTAAAGCAGGTTAAGTTAATCTAAAGCAGGTTAAGTTAACCTTGTGATTTAAGTAAAGCACCTAATTTTCTTAACTAAATGATGCTGCAGGTTTATCTATTAGCAGGTTTCATTTTGCCTGCACTTGGTTCTGTTCATTATTTTAAGTGTATTTAACAAGTTTACCAAAATATAAAAAATGTCAAACTGCATTTGCCTTGTTTTACTTTTTACTTGTACTTTTAATTTCATTACTTGAGTTCATCCATTGTTACAGTAATTTCCAGACTTCAGTACAAGACGTTTCAGATACTTTAAGACTTTAACTCAAGTAACATTTCAGTGACTTGGACTTTTACCAAAGTCATATTTTGGAGCGGTACCTGTACTTTTACTGGACTCTGAGATTTCAGGACTTTATACAACACTGGTCAGGACTCCCAGCAGCTCTCTCTCACCTGACTAACTCACCTGACTGACTCACCTGAGTGTCCAGGAGATTAAAGTAGTCCATGGACTCCTCTAGCGCCCCCTGGCTCCTGATCTCTGGTTGGCCGCACTGCGGACAGGTGAGCTGGTGAACGGCGCGCTCCTTGATGGCAACGGAGAAACAGGAAGTGAAGCAGCTCTGACACAAGAAGCAGGAGCAATGGGTCATGGAGATGATCTGCAGAAAACAAGCAGAGATGAAGAGCTAACAGGAAGCAGAGCGGTGTCTGTCCTTTGATTGGCTGGCTGAGACAGTCACCTTGCTGAAGGTCACCTGGTCACGACAGATTGGACAGGTGTGTGTCAGGAACTTCAACGCTGAAGGGAGATCTGGATTATGCTGAACTGCCTCTATGACATCATCAGTGCTGAAGCTCCGCCCAGTCATGGTGATCAGAGCCATGAAGACGGCGGCCCGGTCTGGAGACAGGTGAGCCGACACCTGGGAGACACATCAGCTGAGATGAGCTGGGTCCGTCCAGATGAACACCTGGACGGACCCAGAGGCAGGACTGTCCAGGTTCCCACCAGGTGATCCAGTTCTGGGTCAGAACCACCCAGGTAGGGGTTGTGTAATACTTCCAGAAACTCCCTCCACCTAGAGGGCAATCCTAACCTGGGACCTGATGATCAGAACCAGAACCCACCTGTGGTCAGCAGATCACAGCCAACATGGCGGCTTGTCTACTTTGAGCGCTGTCAAGCAGCTAACACATTGAACTGAGTGTGCTCCAACCCATAACTGCTAGCTCAGTTAGCACTGGCTAGCGCTAGTCATAACAAGCTTTCAAAAGCGCCAACAACAAAGTCAACAGCTAAACCAAAATGTTCAGTCACTTGAATGGAGTCAGGTCCGACGATGAACACGAAGTCCACAGTAAAACAGTCGCAAACAGCTGCAAAGCGTTTTTTTTTAAATGTATCAAGTTTCCTTTCGATGGCAGCAGTTCCTCTGGAGGAATCTTCTGTAGAAACAGCAGAAATCTCATCATCGCCCAGCAAGACCCGCTTGGCCATCAGAGGGACGGAGCCCCTCTGTCTGGATGTTTGAGCCTGAGATTGGTAAGGAAATACATAACTGGTGTACTTAGCGAGCAATAGATGCAATAGATAAAGGTAGATTTAATGACCGGGTTCCGACTTGACCAGTCAGAAACATTCCAGTAAGAATAGAGCATGTGAAAACGAGCTCAAGTCGCTCTCTGCATATTATTGGCTTGGAAAAAGCCTTGTCATAACATTATTGGTGGAATGCGGCGTCAATCAAAAGGGGCGGGCTCTAGGCTGCCCAATAAAAGCGTCATAACGGACACCAGCAGAGTTTAAGTAGATTTCCTTTAATTGATCTCACCTCACAAACTAATAAACCCAGATCTCTGAAATTAATTATAGTGATTCAAAGAGCCCTGAGACACAAAAATATCCTTGGATATACTTTTTTACATATAAAAATGAAATATTTATTACACTTGAATCCAATTTGCATAATAATTTGGAACATGGTGTAGAGCAGCCATGTTAGGGTTAATGAGTCTTGGAAGGCCGGCATCCTGCAGGTTTTATTCTCTCTCTGGTACCAACAACTTCTTCATCGCTGGAGGCCTAACGATGACGAGCCATCACTGGATCCAGGTACGTTAAACCAGGGAGAGACTAAAACATGGACGCCGGTCCCCTGAGGTAGACTCTGTTTGTATTAATGGTCATAACTCAGTTGCGCTACAGACTGATTGCTGTCATTGAACTAAAGTAGTGGTGCAGTGATTTCAATTTTCTGGCAAATCACCAATATTATAAAGCCTGACTGATTTTAGCCATTACTGATTTGTTTCTGTACTAAATTTAGTACCAAAGTTGCAAAGTTGTCAACAGCAGGCCCATGGAGGGGCGATCAATCGCCACACCCCAAAAAGGCCCCCGCCCCAAGCCGAGTCCCCAAGGGAACCACTGCTGAGGTAAAACCCGGCCTCACCTTCCTCAGGTCGACTTCGGCTGCTGGACTCTGATCTCCAGAACCACGTTGGTTCTGTTCTGACCGCCTGCCTCCATCCAGCCTCAAAGCTCCCATCATTCTGCTGAGGGGCACTGTGGGGGGCGCACCTGCAGGGCGGACCGGATCCGCTACAGAACCTGAGGTATGAGTTCAGAATCTTAGCTGCAGCCCGTCCTGAACAGAACCAACGCTACTTAAAAGGGACGCCGTTTCTTTAAGGGGTGGGGTTTATAACTCCCATCTCACCTGGAGGGGCTCAGGAGGGTGTTGGCGCCGCCAGAGGAGGGCGGAGCCCCGAAGTCGATCCCTTTCAGCTCCTCAGTGTAAGATGTCCTGACGCTGTCCTGCTCCCATTGGCTGGCTGCAACAGAAGGGAGGGGCTTCTGTTGCAGCGCTCATGTGAGAGAAATACCAGTTTCTGTCACATGACAAACCGCTATTGGCCAATTACGTCACCATGGTAACTCGAAAGACCTCTGAAAGCAATCACACCCATTCTATGTTTGCACACTGCAGGTGGCGCCCCTATGGGGTAGACCTCCTGCTGGGTTAGGGCTAGGGTGGGCAACACCGTCCCAAGATGGAGTGGCTTACCTTCAGACAGGTGGGCGGGGCCCTGAGCGGGGCTCTGGGCGGGGCTCTGGGCGGGGCTCTGGGCGGGGCCCTGGGCGGGGCCCTGAGCGGGGCTCTGGGCGGGGCCCTGAGCGAGGCTCTGGGCGGGGCTCTCGGAGGAAGAGGAGGAGCTACAGCAAGAGGAGACAAACCCAGATCAGAACCTGTGCCGTCACCATGGGGATGCATCACCAGGACTGTCCCCAACCAAGACCTCTGACCTCAGACTCAGAATCCTGAATAAGAACATTAAGATGACAAGAACCACCAGAACTTCCACCAGAACCTCAAGAACCACATCTAAAGGGAACAGGCTGGTAAGAACCACTATCAGAACCTGGACCTGGTAACGATACCCTTACACCACTTGATAAAACCCGATCAAAACCGGCTAGGTTCTACCTGCACCCTGGCCTGTAAGGTACTCACCTGACTCCTGCAGGGGGCGGAGCTTGATCCAGTCCTGGCGTAAAGAGGCGTGTCCTTCTGGAAGGCCAGCCTCATCTCTGACAGCAGCAGCGTCAGATTGGACACACCCTGGGAGGAAGTGACATCGCTGAGCCCTTAGCCTCACGGGTCAGGGGTCAGGGGTCAGACTGTGGGCTTACAGGAGTCCAATTCCGCAGTCCATCCACACTGACGGTCCCGAAGGAATCTACGTGAGGACAGGACGGGTTGATCACCATTGCGACGGAGGGGCAGACGACACAGCGCGGGCGTGACAGCGGGTGGGTCTCGTGCAGCCAGATGCACACTGGGATGTTGTAGACACTTCCTGTGGAGACACCAGAACCGGGCTGAGCAACAGGTCTGGACCGGAAGCCGCAGAGCCAAGATGTCCGACAGCCTGACCTTGGTAGAAGACAGGGAGCGTTCCTGACAGGTGCAGCAGCTTCCTCGTCTCCTTGTTTGGAAACCTGCAGAACACAAGAACATTGGTTCTGATCCGAACCGTCGGAACCGGGCCGCATCGAGCTGATCCACCCAGAGGACCACAACTGGTCTCTGGTCTGTGGTTCCTGGTCAGAATCACAGAACCAGAGAACAGCAGTTCTGTTCGTGTCGGTTCAGAACACGAAGGATCCATCCTCTTTAAATCTCCAGCAGGCAACACACGAAGTTGTACATTTCATAATGTTATTTATTTTAAAAAGATGTATTTTTGGATTGAGATGCTACAGCAAGTGGAGCATATGGCTTCAGAGTGAGTTAATACCGAAAACAACAAACAAAAGGAAAGTATCTGAAGATTAACCAACTTACCTAATAGAAAGTAAAGAAACCAAATGAGAAAAACTAAACTCCATAACTAAGAAAAAAAAAAAAAACTAATGAAACATAAAGGGCAGCTCAGTCCTACAAACTGCAGAACGTTACATAATTTAACAGACAATGTGGCCAATTGAGATGAGCTGAGGATGGATGAAAGGAAGTGTACGTCTCTGGTCCCTGGTCTCTGGTCCGTGGTTCCTAGTCTCTGGTCCCTGGTCCGTGGTTCCTGGTCTCTAGTCCCTGGTCTCTGGTTCCTGGTCTCTGGTCCCTGGTCTCTGGTCTCTGGTCCCTGGTCTCTGGTCTGTGGTTCCTAGTCTCTAGTCCCTGGTCTCTGGTCCCTGGTCTCTAGTCCCTGGTCTCTGGTCTGTGGTTCCTAGTCTCTAGTCCCTGGTCTCTGGTCCCTGGTCTCTGGTCTCTGGTCTCTAGTCCCTGGTCTCTAGTCCCTGGTCTCTGGTCTCTGGTCTCTGGTCCCTGGTCTCTGGTCTCTGGTCCCTGGTCTCTAGTCCCTGGTCTCTGGTCTGTGGTTCCTAGTCTCTGGTCCCTGGTCTCTGGTCCCTGGTCTCTGGTCCCTGGTCTCTGGTCTCTGGTCCCTGGTCTCTGGTCTCTGGTCCCTGGTCTCTGGTCCCTGGTCTCTAGTCCCTGGTCTGTGGTTCCTGGTCTCTAGTCCCTGGTCTCTAGTTCCTGGTCTCTGGTTCCTAGTCTCTAGTCCCTGGTCTGTGGTTCCTGGTCTCTAGTCCCTGGTCTCTAGTCCCTGGTCTCTGGTCTCTGGTCTCTGGTCCCTGGTCTCTGGTCTCTGGTCCCTGGTCTCTAGTCCCTGGTCTCTGGTCTGTGGTTCCTAGTCTCTGGTCCCTGGTCTCTGGTCCCTGGTCTCTGGTCCCTGGTCTCTGGTCTCTGGTCCCTGGTCTCTGGTCCCGGGTCTCTAGTCCCTGGTCTCTTGTCCGTGGTTCCTAGTATCTGGTCCCTGGTCTCTGGTCCGTGGTTCCTAGTCTCTGGTCCCTGGTCTGTGGTTCCTGGTCTCTAGTCCCTGGTCTCTGGTTCCTGGTCTCTAGTCCCTGGTCTCTGGTCCCTGGTCTCTAGTCCCTGGTCTCTAGTCCCTGGTCTCTGGTCTGTGGTTCCTAGTCTCTAGTCCCTGGTCTCTGGTCCCTGGTCTCTAGTCCCTGGTCTCTGGTCCCTGGTCTCTGGTCTCTGGTCCCTGGTCTCTGGTCTGTGGTTCCTAGTCTCTGGTCCCTGGTCTCTGGTCCCTGGTCTCTGGTCTCTGGTCCCTGGTCTCTGGTCTCTGGTCCCTGGTCTCTGGTCCCTGGTCTCTAGTCCCTGGTCTGTGGTTCCTGGTCTCTAGTCCCTGGTCTCTGGTTCCTGGTCTCTAGTCCCTGGTCTCTAGTTCCTGGTCTCTGGTTCCTAGTCTCTAGTCCCTGGTCTCTGGTCCCGGGTCTCTAGTCCCTGGTCTCTGGTCCCTGGTCTCTGGTCTCTGGTCCCTGGTCTCTGGTCCCTGGTCTCTAGTCCCTGGTCTGTGGTTCCTGGTCTCTAGTCCCTGGTCTCTAGTCCCTGGTCTCTGGTCCGTGGTTCCTAGTCTCTGGTCCCTGGTCTCTGGTTCGTGGTTCCTAGTCTCTGGTCCCTGGTCTGTGGTTCCTGGTCTCTAGTCCCTGGTCTCTGGTTCCTGGTCTCTAGTCCCTGGTCTCTGGTCCCTGGTCTCTAGTCCCTGGTCTCTAGTCCCTGGTCTCTGGTCTGTGGTTCCTAGTCTCTAGTCCCTGGTCTCTGGTCCCTGGTCTCTAGTCCCTGGTCTCTGGTCCCTGGTCTCTGGTCTCTGGTCCCTGGTCTCTGGTCTGTGGTTCCTAGTCTCTGGTCCCTGGTCTCTGGTCCCTGGTCTCTGGTCCCTGGTCTCTGGTCTCTGGTCCCTGGTCTCTGGTCCCTGGTCTCTAGTCCCTGGTCTGTGGTTCCTGGTCTCTAGTCCCTGGTCTCTGGTTCCTGGTCTCTAGTCCCTGGTCTCTAGTTCCTGGTCTCTGGTTCCTAGTCTCTAGTCCCTGGTCTCTGGTCCCGGGTCTCTAGTCCCTGGTCTCTTGTCCGTGGTTCCTAGTATCTGGTCCGTGGTTCCTAGTCTCTGGTCCCTGGTCTGTGGTTCCTGGTCTCTAGTCCCTGGTCTCTGGTTCCTGGTCTCTAGTCCCTGGTCTCTGGTCCCTGGTCTCTGGTCTCTAGTCCCTGGTCTCTAGTTTCTGGTCTCTGGTCCCTGGTCTCTGGTCCCTGGTCTCTGGTCCCGGGTCTCTAGTCCCTGGTCTCTGGTCCGTGGTTCCTAGTCTCTGGTCCCTGGTCTGTGGTTCCTGGTCTCTGGTCCCTGGTCTGTGGTTCCTGGTCTCTAGTCCCTGGTCTCTGGTTCCTGGTCTCTAGTCCCTGGTCTCTGGTCTCTAGTCCCTGGTCTCTGGTTCCTGGTCTCTAGTCCCTGGTCTGTGGTTCCTGGTCTCTGGTTCCTGGTCTCTAGTCCCTGGTCTCTGGTTCCTGGTCTCTAGTCCCTGGTCTCTAGTCCCTGGTCTCTGGTCTGTGGTTCCTAGTCTCCGGTCCCTGGTCTCTAGTCCCTGGTCTCTGGTCCCTGGTCTCTAGTCCCTGGTCTCTGGTTCCTGGTCTCTAGTCCCTGGTCTGTGGTTCCTGGTCTCTGGTTCCTGGTCTCTAGTCCCTGGTCTCTGGTTCCTAGTCTCTAGTCCCTGGTCTCTAGTCCCTGGTCTCTGGTCCCTGGTCTCTAGTCCCTGGTCTCTGGTCCCTGGTCTCTAGTCCCTGGTCTGTGGTTCCTGGTCTATAGTCCCTGGTCTCTAGTCCCTGGTCCCTGGTCTCTAGTCCCTGGTCTCTAGTTCCTGGTCTCTAGTTCCTGGTCTCTGGTTCCTAGTCTCTAGTCCCTGGTCTGTGGTCCCTGGTCTCTAGTCCCTGGTCTCTGGTCCGTGGTTCCTAGTCTCTGGTCCCTGGTCTGTGGTTCCTGGTCTCTAGTCCCTGGTCCCTGGTCTCTAGTCCCTGGTCTCTGGTCTGTGGTTCCTAGTCTCCGGTCCCTGGTCTCTGGTTCCTGGTCTCTGGTCCCTGGTCTCTAGTCCCTGGTCTCTGGTTCCTGGTCTCTAGTCCCTGGTCTGTGGTTCCTGGTCTCTAGTCCCTGGTCTGTGGTTCCTGGTCTCTGGTTCCTGGTCTCTAGTCCCTGGTCTGTGGTCCCTAGTCTCTGGTTCCTCGTCTCTGGTCTCTGGTTTTCGGTCCCTGGTCTCTGGTCTCTAGTCCCTGGTCTCTGGTCTGTGGTTCCTAGTCTCTGGTTCCTGTTCTCTGGTTCCTGGTCTCTAGTCCCTGGTCTCTGGTTCCTGTCTCTAGTCACGGGTCTCTGGTTCCTGGTCTCTAGTCCCTGGTTTCTGGTCCCTAGTTTCTGGTCCCTGGTCTGTGGTTCCTAGTCTCTGGTCCCTGGTTTGTGGTTCCTGGTCTCTAGTCCCTGGTCTCTGGTCCCTAGTCTCTGGTCCCTGGTCTGTGGTTTCTGGTCTCTTGTCTCTGGTCTGTGGTTCCTAGTCTCTGGTCCCTGGTTTGTGGTTCCTGGTCTCTAGTCCCTAGTCTCTGGTTCCTGGTCCCTGGTCTGTGGTTCCTGGTCTCTGGTCTGTGGTTCCTGGTCTCTAGTCCCTGGTCTGTGGTTCCTGGTCTCTGGTTCCTGGTCTCTGGTCTGTGGTTCCTGGTCTCTAGTCCCTGGTCTGTGGTTCCTGGTCTCTAGTCCCTGGTCTTTGGTTCCTGGTCTGTGGTTCCTGGTCTCTGGTCTGTGGTTCCTGGTCTCTAGTCCCTGGTCTGTGGTTCCTGGTCCCTAGTCCCTGGTCTGTGGTTCCTGGTCCCTGGTCTGTGGTTCCTGGTCTCTGGTCTGTGGTTCCTGGTCTCTAGTCCCTGTTCTGTGGTTCCTGGTCCCTAGTCCTGGTCTGTGGTTCCTGGTCTCTGGTCTGTGGTTCCTGGTCTCTGGTCTGTGGTTCCTGGTCTCTAGTCCCTGGTCTGTGGTTCCTGGTCTCTGGTTCCTGGTCTCTAGTCCCTGGTCTGTGGTTCCTGGTCTCTGGTTCCTGGTCTCTAGTCCCTGGTCTTTGGTTCCTGGTCTGTGGTTCCTGGTCTGTGGTTCCTGGTCTCTAGTCCCTGGTCTGTGGTTCCTGGTCCCTAGTCCCTGGTCTGTGGTTCCTGGTCCCTGGTCTGTGGTTCCTGGTCTCTGGTCTGTGGTTCCTGGTCTCTAGTCCCTGGTCTGTGGTTCCTGGTCCCTGGTTCCTGGTCTCTAGTCCCTGGTTTGTGGTTCCTGGTCCCTAGTCCCTGGTCTGTGGTTCCTGGTTATTGTGTCTACCACTAGGTGGCGTTCCAGAATAGGATTGAGAGCAGAGAGATAAAAAGGGTAGAAGAAGAGCTAAGATGGCGGAAAAGCTTATGTTATTGTACTGCTGAGCAAGTTGTGAATAAAAGCTGTTAAGAGTTATTTCTCTACTGAGATTCTACCTCGTCCTACCTACCAAACATAACAATTGGCGACGATGACGTCTCTACCCATGCCTGCACCGTTCCTGCCCTGCAGTGGAGAACCTACGGTTCCGTTTTCTACGTGGCGGAAGATGTTCGAGAACTACTTAACGGCTATTCATGCTACTGGAAATTCCTGGTCTGATGCTAGACGCCGTGCTCTACTAATTCATGCTCTTGGCTTCGAAGGACAACGTTTATTTTACACCTTACCTAACGTCGGCAATACATATGAGGAGGCAATGACGGCGTTGGAACTACAGTTTGCTCCAAAAGTAAACGTTGTTGTGGCAAGACACCAATTCCGACAGAGAACGCAGATGGCGGATGAAACTGTGCCTCAGTACATGGCTGCTTTACGTGAGTTGGCTATCACCTGTGCTTATGGAACCATGGAGGATGAGATGCTACGGGATCAGCTTATTGAGAAAGATTATTCACCGGAGGTGAGAAACAGACTTTTATTAGAATGTTCGCTTACGTTGGACACCGCTGTCACACTGGCGTGTCAAGTGGAACATGCTCTTCATGCATCCAAACTCCTCAGTGAAGCTACTCCTGTTCATATGGTTACCCAGCGCGGATCTACTCAACGGAAGACTAGAAACCGGCAAGCCGTTTCTAAAAATAGCCACACGCGCACAGTACAGCAGACAGCGCGAGCCTGTTATCGATGTGGATCGACAAATCACCTGGCGAATGCACGAGACTGCCCTGCGGCCGCAGCAAAATGCAACAGCTGTGGTAAAACTGGACACTTTTCTAAAGTTTGCCGCTCAGCTAAACAAGTTAGAGAAGTAATGCCTGAAGTGGCTGTGCTCATGTTGACCTCAAAAGAAGTTAACACTACTGATAGATTGATTTGCAAAGTGAACATTAAAGCTATGTCAGGGGAGTCTACTGACTGTGAATTACTGATTGATACAGGATCATCTGTTTCTATCATACCAGAGACTCTGTACAACAGACATTTTCCTGAGAGTCGTCTAACTGCACCTCATGTGAAATTAGTCACTTATTTGAAAGAGGACATCCCTGTAATAGGATGTTTGGAAGCCACAGTTACCCTTGACAACAACACTGCTCCTGCTTCTTTGTATGTGGTTCAAGGAGGATCTGCATTACTCGGAATGGACCTAATAAAAGCACTGAAATGGACAATTAACCACAATTCATTCCATGTTCCACCTCCTGAACAAGTTTCTTCTGCCGCACCTGTGTTACAAACAGACTCTGCTTCTATTGGCTGCGTTGCTGGGTTTGTGCACAAAGTTAAAGTACGTGAGGATGCAGTTCCAGTTCAGCAAAAACTCCGACGTCTTCCATTTGCAGTACGAGAAGCTGTGTCAGAGGAGCTGGATCTGCTTCTGAAGGAGGGCATTATCGAACGCATTGATGCTTCTCCCTGGATTTCTCCTATTGTGGTTACAACAAGAAAAGGAGGCAGACCAAGATTATGTGTTGACTTAAGAAAACCGAATAAAGCGATTGTTGCTGACAGTCACCCTTTGCCTCACATGGATGAACTATTAAGTGAGCTCAGGGGTGCCAATGTTTTCTCTACCATAGATCTGGCATCTGCATACCACCATCTTCTACTCACGGCTTTCATTACACACAAAGGACTTTTCCGCTACTGCCGTGTTCCCTACGGGTTGGCCTCTGCTCCCTCTGCATTCCAAAAAATGATGTAAACTGTGCTTAAAGGGCTACCTGGTGTGCAGAATTACTTGGATGATGTAATTGTTGCAGGATCTTCTCTAGAGGAACATGACAGATGCCTGCGTGCTGTGCTCCAGCGTCTCACAGATGTAGGTCTGACACTGAACATGCAAAAATGCACATTTAAAGAGTCCAGCCTCAAATTTCTTGGCCACATCATTTCCAAAGACGGCATTCTTCCTGATCCGGACCATAGTGCAGCTGTCCGTGATGCCCCACCACCACATGATCTACCATCTCTGCGCTCCTTTATTTTCTGTACAGTAATTCACAGTAATTCCTTCCCAATTTTGCCACAGTAGTGGAACCAATGCGGGCTGTACTGAGAGAAACTGTTGACTCTGGTTTCATATGGACTGAAGGAGCTGATCAAAGCTTTAAGGAACTAAAAGAGCTTTTACTGAACAGTCCTGTTCTTTGCTCTTTTTGACCCATCTCTACCAACCATTGTCACCACAGACGCGTCAGACTACGGACTGGGTGGTGTGTTGACCCAAATACACCCAGATAATACTGAACGCACTGTGGCATTTGCGTCTCGAACTCTGAGCCCTACTGAACGAAAGTACTCTACAGTGGAATAGGAGGCTCTTGCTTGTGGGTGGGCTGTGGAAAAATGAGGTCTTACTTTGGGGCCGACATTTCACACTAAGAACTGATCATCAGGCACTGACAACACTACTCGCTACCAAAGGCATTGGGCGTCTGGAATGAGAGTTGCACGCTGGTCTGCACGTTTACTGTGCTTCACCTATGATTTGAATACAGGCCTGGATCACAAAACCAGGCTGCAGACTGTTTGTCACGGTTGCCACTCCCTATGGACTCTACTCCTGTAGATGAACCTGACATGGTTGCATCCATTGTGTCAGCTCTGTCTGTTGATGAGTTATTTCTGCTTCCTCTCAGTGCCATGAACTCACACTCCTCGTGGACAGATAGAGAAGGGCTGGCCAAAGTGCAAGAAGACTGTGGACCCGGTCTTAATGCCATACTTCCACATCAGGAATGAACTTTCTGCATCTCAGGATCTGATGAGAGGGGAACATTGATCCATGTTCCTGTTGCTTACGTGCTACTGTCATTCATCTGGCACATAAACATCAAGATGTTGTTCACACAAAACAGAGACTACGTGATCTTTACTGGTGGCCTCAGATGGACAAAATGGTTCAGTCTGTTATTTCTTCATGTACTACCTGCCAAATGAATGACAAATCTGCTCAAACTGCTCCTGCTCCTCTCCAACCCATTGCACTGCCGAACAGGCCATGGGAGAAAGTGGCTCTGGACGTTGTGGGTCCCTTTGAAACTGCTGCTTCTTCATGTAGGTTCGCTATAACATTAGTGGACTATTACAGCAAATGGCCAGAGGTGGCGTTTTCTCACTCTGTAACTGCTGATGTTGTTACATTTATGCGCTCTATTTTCAGCAGAGAGGGGAACCCTGACTACATAGTCACTGATAATGGGCCGCAGTTTCTTTCCACCTCTTTTGCGAGTTTCTCAGAGAAAGGGGATATCTCATCTGCGTACAAGTGTGTACCATCCACAGAGTAGTGCTATCGAAAGATGGAATAGAGTTCTTAAGGAGACAATCCTAACTGCTGAACACATGCAGAAAGACTGGAAAACTACAGTGACTGATTTCCTACAAAACTACAGAGCAACACCACATATCACAACTGGAGTATCTCCATCAGAACTACTGCACAACAGAGATGAAAACAAAAGTGAACATCTTTCCAAATCCAGAGAAAAGCAGAAAATGCACTACAGTCCAAGAAACAGTTAAACAGAAACAAGAGAAGTCTAAACAGTATACTGACAACGCCGTGGAGCAAAGACACCAACATTCAAACCAGGAGACTTGGTGAGGGTGAAAAGACCTGACCGTGTTCGTAAAGGCTCATCAAGATTTACTCCACCGCTGTCTGTTGAAAAGCAGATTGGAGGAAGTACTTATGTACTCAGTGACAATAAAAGGTGGAATGCTGCCAGACTTTTACATTACTCTGCAGGTATTCCATGTAAAACGATAAAACCAGAAAAGCATGACCCTGTGGTTCGAAATAAAAGGGCCAGAACTGCTGCTTGATCTGTGGTTCAAGGACTTTCAACCAGGTTAAAAGAAAATATTAATATGTAATACATAAATGCTTGTGTTACATGTTTAGGGTTCAGGTGAACTAATTTTCATTACAAACAAACTGGCTACAATGCCTGAATTTTAATTGTACAATAGTTACATTTGGTAATTCTGTTTCCATAGTAACTTCAAGTTTTAGAGTTTAAAAGTACAGGGTTGCTGAATATATTTGTTTGGTTTTGTGTACTTAATTGACCACCTACTTTGATTGCAACTAAGGTTATCTTTGTGTTGTACAAACTGTTAAATGAAGTTGATGTTCAGTCATATGTTAAATGGGTACATGCAATCTTTTCAAGTAAGGGGGGAATGTTGTGTCTACCACTAGGTGGCGTTCCAGAATAGGATTGAGAGCAGAGAGATAAAAAGGGTAGAAGAAGAGCTAAGATGGCGGAAAAGCTTATGTTATTGTACTGCTGAGCAAGTTGTGAATAAAAGCTGTTAAGAGTTATTTGTCTACTGAGATTCTACCTCGTCCTACCTACCAAACATAACACTGGTCTCTAGTCCCTGGTCTGTGGTTCCTGGTCCCTGGTCTCTAGTCTCTAGTCCCTGGTCTGTGGTTCCTGGTCCCTGGAAAATCCTCCCTGAAAGTAATCACATCCTGATTGGGTTCCTCTGCACCATCACCTTAATCTGGAGCTCTGAGTGTAACAGGTTCTGGTCTGGGCTCCAGCCAGTCCTGTCCAGAACCGCTCCGAACCTCGTTTGGTTTGAAGTTTCAGGAGAGACAATCTGGTCTCATTCACAGGAAGGTCTGGCCCAACAGGGTCAAGAACCTCTAGATCCGCACCGGACCCGATTTCCGGTTTCCTTCATCCTTCAGCCCCTCTACGGGTACTGAGGTTCTGATCCGGAACCGGACAGAAACGGTTTAGAGTCTCGGATCTTGTCTGAAAGCTCGTGAATTAAGCGCAGCGAGTCTGCTCTCCTGCGCCCCCTGCTGTACGCTGATTGATTGCTGCCCCCATTAAACTGAATTAACTTTAGTTTATTTACTCACAGTAAAAGTCCACAAACAGCCGCAGGTCTCGGAACCGAGCCCGGACAAACCGCAGGTCCTTCAGAGTCTCTGTGGGGTACCGGTACCGACACTGGCCGAGGAGGAGGTTCTGTTAGCAACGAGCCTGAACTTGGACCCGGTTCGGTTTGTTCAATGAAGTTTCTCACCTCCGTCAGAGTCTGTTGCTCCGCTTCCTGTGAAACCAGAGGCATGTTTAAAGCAGAACCGAGCCCAGAACCATTTTACATTCAGAACCACATCCCAACAAGCTAACAGCGGCCAAACTGGGAACGTCACTTCCGCTTCAACACCGCCACACAAACCAGAGCCTTTAAGAAGCCGGAAGTTACCTCAAGGCTGCTGATCAGCGCCATCTTGGTCAGGGCGCGAGATCTGAACATAATATAACCCTAAGCAGTTAAAAGTTTCAATCATTAAAAATAATGATTGAAACTTTTATTGAAAGCTGTACATCAGTCCCAAGAAGAAAACACCTGAGTCAAGCAAACTGTCCTGTTGCTGCGTAGCATTTTATCAAGTTTATTCATATTTATCATGAATGACCCACAGGTCATGATGGTGAGCAACAGCAGGTGGGACTTGCACTTCGCTCTATGAAGAGACCTGAAGGTGGTTCCCCAGCAACCCCAGACATTACATGAGACAAACGCCTGGTACGTGAGGATGAAAACAACCAGAACCAGAACCCTTTTTCACTCCAAATCATAACGCTAATAAGGACTTTCATTCTGAAAGGACTGATTCCAGATGACTTCCTGTGACGTTATTTATTGATCTAATTTGAACAGAAACATCCAGATCTCAGCTGACCAATCACATTCCACACAGTTTAGAAACTACAATCCCCATCAGCCTCAGAGAAGGTGGGCGTGGCTTCCTCAGATGGGCGTGGCCCTCCACTCCTTGCCTTCAGTCAGCGCTCTGGGTTGGTGGATGAACACGCTGTAGCGGACGCCCTGATTGGCGGCCGCCCTGACGAAGCGGCTGTTGGCTGTCATGGTGACAGCTCTCAGGAAATCTCCGGTTCCGAAGATGGCAAGCGAGCGGCGGTTGACCTTGGCACTGGGCGTGAGGCGGCGGCTGCGCTCCGACGGCTGGTCGTCCACCAGGTGCAGGCGTGCCAGGAGCGTCTGAGCGCGCTCCTTCTCGCCCGGCCCGCCCAGCGTGTCCAGGATGGCGCGAAAGTCGGTCACGGCGGCGCGGCAGACGAACAGCTCCTTGCCTGCCATGAAGGCGTCAAGGCTGGGCAGAACCGGCCACCGGCGCTCCTGGGCAGCCTGCTCCGTCAGGACCGGCTCCCGGAAGCTGAAGTGGCAGCGACCGTGGCTGAGCGCCGACACGTAGGCGATGAGCGTGGTGATGTCCAGGTTGACCCGCCCACACTCCTCTGGCGGCGGCGGCAGTGGAAATGCCAGGCGAGCCAGCACCGTGCCACGCTGCACCTGGGTCAGACCAGACGCCAGCTCCCTCTGGGTCATCTGGGTCGGCCTCTCTCTTCCTCCACTTCTTCCTCATCCTTCTCCTGCTCATCCTCCACCCTCACCGCCACAATGTCGCCCCTCACCGCCACGGGGTGCCGCAGCCGGTCGGCCATGGGGCTGGACACGCCGTTGTAGAAGGCGAAGACGACGTGGGGGTGGCGGTAGTTGACGGGCAGCTGGCGGCTGGCCAACAGGAAGTCCTCCGCCTGCCGTACCACGCTCTTGTCTCCGTACTGGCCCCGCCCCTGCCAGATGTTGTGCAGCGCCTCTGCCTTGCGGCCCACCGCCTTCACCCAGGTGAGTCCCGCGTCGGCCACCACGTCCACCACAAGTGTGCGCCGGCGGCCGGCGGCGTCCCGGTAGCTGAAGACGTGCAACAATGCCACAACATCCTCCAAGTCCTGCGCCGAGTCCACGATGGCGGTAAGGTGGGTGAGGTTGGTGCTGTGCAGGTGAGACTCCTTCACCTGCAGCTCTCCGGCTTCAACCCGTCGCAGGAAGCGCGCTCGGCCCGCAGCTTGCCGCACAACTTCTGGTGACCTTCAACCCCTGGACAGAGATGCTCCGCCCGCTGCAGCAGCCTGGGCCGAGCTGATCCGGTCCCGCAGCGTGGCCTGAAGGGACATGTCTGCTGCATCACACCTGGAGACAGAACCAGACGTTGGATCAACTCAAGAGACCAGCAACTGGACCACGGACATGATGACAGATGTTTATCTGTTCACAGCTGACCTGGAGCTGGTTGACCAACAGTTTTATCACCTGTTCTTATCAGGTCCCTTCACTTCTCTAGAAATGTTCTGTTAGACCTTCCTGGTCAGAACCAGAACTTATTTCCTGGTAAAGTTTATTATATGAAATCATAATAATCAGAAATAAGACAAAACCTTCTGAGTTCGGACAGGGTTTCCAGAACCATGGGTTCTGGAAGTAGAACTAGAGAAAATATTTGGGTGGGAACCTGCTACCGGAAACATCATGAGGGTGGTACTGATCCACAGAGCCTCTAGGTACCGGACCGCTCACAACCACATTATGATAAATGGCTTCATATAGCTGCTTATCTAGTCCAAAGAAACACAAAGCTTCTACAGTTATTCACTCATTCATCCACTCACAGGCTGATGGTGGAGAGATACCTGCAGCCTGACAGAGGCCAGGCTGGGCAGGTACCGGTCCAGAACCAGTCATCAGTGTGGACCACGTGTCTTCTAGGACAACTGAAGCTGAAGTTGGTCCCGATTCGGGAAATGGCTAAAGGGCGATTCCACCTCATTTTTCTCTACCTTCCATCTTTAATGGATTCTAGTTTAAAAACTGCAACAACTGGACTCTTTAAAACCTGGACTGGACTCTTCAAACCTGGACTGGACTCTTCTACTCTAATAGCAGAATATTTAGATCCATGTTTGGGATTTATGAAACTTTTTTCTGATTTGTGAAACTTTACTTCACAGCCCACTGCAGAAGGTTTTTCCTTCCACAGCCATCACCATCTACAATAACTGAAGAATAATTAGTTATACCAACATTTAATTTCCCATTGAGATTAATAAAGTGGTTTTGAATTTGTGCATGGAACAAGTGTGAATAGTATAAACTTGAGTGAAGTTTCATAAAACCCAAACATGGATCTAAATATTGTGTTATTAGAGCAGAAGAGTCCAGTCCAGGTTTGAAGAGTCCAGTCCAGGTTTGAAGAGTCCAGTCCAGGTTTGAAGAGTCCAGTCCAGGTTTGAAGAGTCCCAGTCCAGGTTTGAAGAGTCCAGTCCAGGTTTAAAGTCCCAGTCCAGGTTTAAAGAGTCCAGTCCAGGTTTTTGAAGAGTCCAGTTGTTGCAGTTTTTAAACTAGAATCCATTAAAGATGGAAGGTAGTGAAATGAGGTGGGATTGTAAATCTCATGGCTCCTTTATTACTGGAGAAATTTGTATTTGACTGTAAGCTGTTTTGCACTGGATGCATAAACAATAAAATGTATAAACCAACTACGGCCATTTAATAAATTGTTAAAGATGGGAAATGACTCCAAGTGCTCTGGTCGTTTTTACCATCATTTCTAATGTTCAGTGTGATGTGGCTGTTCAGAACAGCCACATCACACTGAACACCATATTTAACCCCTGATGGCCAAACTGCCCAAACTCCTGTTGATGCCATGATAATCCGTGACGTCACTGTACATCACGTCACAGAGAAACTATTTTTCTGCCTCTTCGCCTCCATCCGAGTGGATTTATAACAACATTTAATCACCTTATTGGTCACAGATTTTGATGCAACACCTGTACCAACACCTGTTCTAGTCACCATGGTAACACTGTAAACGGGCCGGCCAGAACCTCTGCCGTGTTATCAGCAGCGACACCAGAACCAAATCGATCTGGACCTCCAGAACGTCAAGCCGCAGCGATTCAGGCAAAAGGAGCCTGGCCCGGTTCTCAGAGCCGAATCTGAACTGAACGTGAATGATTCGGATCCGGATCCGGTCTGAACGAGCTGGAGACCAAACCCAACAGATCAGAACCCGTCTCCTTGTAGAACCGACCCAGATATGAACAGAACCCCCTGAAAACCCACAAGCTGAACTTGACCGGTTCTGTCCGGGATCTGACCCGGTAACGCTGGGAGACTCACCCGGTTCTGGACTGGAAGTTCGCTGCCGGTTCCGGTTCTGGCTCGTCGTTTACAGCCGAAGCTCCTTCCGAACCGCCGTGCCAGACGCTGTTAATGGCTGCTCGGCTCAGCTGGCAGGAAACACTGCGTCACTGCCGGTAGGATTTTCAAAATAAAAGCAAAGACCGGAAACGAGGAAGCAGTGTGGTTGGTGGCGGTAAATGCAGCTTCCGGTTCCCAAGAAGAAGAAAAATAGAAAACCGCTTTCATTTTTCTAATAGTTTCTTTTTACTTAATGAAGAGAATTTCAAACAGGAAGAGATTTATGATCACACATGATACGTTTCCCTCTCCTGACTCCAAAGTCCGGATCAGAACCGGATCAGAACAGAACCGGGTCCAGGACATAGAGACAGGAAGCCGATGATGAATGAATCTTTATTTGGAAACAATAAAAACTGAAGGGAACAATAAATACTGAGTATTGACTACTGATTGGCAACATGCTGAAGAATGTAAGGCACATGAGGTCTGCTGACCTTCTGGCACCAGAACACCTGGGCAGGTGAGCCAGAACCATTAGGCCAATCATCTGGCAGCAGCAGCAGGAAGGGGCGGAGCCAGTCAGCTCTTCAGCTGCTTCCTCTTCTTCACCAGTTCAGCCAGCATTTACACCGGGTCACACATTCCTCCTGGAACCAGAACACAGAGGGAACCAGGTCAGAACCAGAACACAGAGGGAACCAGGTCAGAACCAGAACAGGGTTGTCTCACCTTGGTCTTTCCAGGGACCACCTTGGCGATCCGGTCCCACCGTTCTGCAGTTCCACGGGGGAACTGCTGTAGGGCCAGTTCTAGCAGCTTCTGCTGGTTCTGTGTCCAAACGGCCATGTTCTCCTGAAGCTCCGCCTCCTCCTGTTCCTCCACCGCCGCCGCCGGGTCAAAGTCCTTCTGCCGCCGGCCGCGGACCTTCCCCTCCAAGCCGTCTGCACAGGAACTCTTCTTGTTCCTCCTTCGGAGCGCCGCAACAGCAGCTTCTTCCTCCTCCTCCTCCTCCTCTTCACTGACCCCGCCCACTCTCTGAGTGATGATGTCATCCACAGGAAATGACCTCACAGGAAGTGGAGAAGACTTTAAATCTGAGAGTTTGACCAGAGCTGGAACAG